TAGGGTACAAAAACCACTCGGAAGAGAAACAAAATGATAGCAAGAAAGACCAGCTACTAGGCCTGTCCTCCATCGGCCGTTTTATTTTCGATTTTGACACACAAACTTCATTTCTATACTAATTTCAAGTAATTCCGCCTTCTTATTCTCCGTCATCCAAGCAAAACGACCGATGGAGGACAGGCCTACCAGCTACCGCACCAAACGAGAAAGAGCGTCGAGGAGACCGACCAAAATAAAATAAAAGCAGGACGGGGAACGCTTCCCACACCCGCGTACAACGCCGGAGGGTTCCGTGCCGGGTTCCCGCCGACCAGGTGTGCATCGCCGGCGCTGGACCGAACCCATCTCAACGCCCATGCCAACCGCTGCGCCTTCCAATCATCGGAAAGAAGCGGCTTGAGGAACCTTGAGCACGATCGCAGGCCTAGATTATTGAGGTTGTCGAACAGAGTTGACTTAGGAATGCCCAAAGCGGCTGCAATCGATCTTATCGTGGTGCGGTTCTTCAGGTGGATGTCTTGCAACGCCTCCTTCAGAGTGGCGATGTCCAGCCCCTTCTGGCCGCTGTTGCCCTTACGTTTGTTGTGAAGGTCGGGATCTTCTTCCCCGGCTTCTTTCTTCTGGTTGTACAGCTTCCAGTACTTGCTCACCGTCTTGGGTGTCTGTTTGTAGATCGCCACCACCCTCTTCACGTCACCATGGCTCAAAGCCCCGTTGTTGCTGCCCTTGAGCAGCTCGGCAACCATGCCCTTTTTCTCGGAAGTTGTCAAATTCTTGCGTGCACTACTTCACGTGAAGCTTCCCTAGAGCAATCTCTGGCAACACTCTGTCCCCACATACCGATATGACGCATTTCTTCTCGTCTGAACGATGCAGCCCCCCGTACCTTGCTTCCTGCTGGCCCCGGCTACAGGAGGTTGCTCCACCATACCCGGCTACAGAGGAGGTCGTTCATCTCTTGCAGCTTGCCGCTGGATTTCCTGTAGGGCGGCCCTCCCGTCCAGTGCAGAAATTTCTGAAACCGCGCCGTAACCTTCTTTTTGGACGAGGCATTTCTCCGCACGAAAAGAAACAGCTGTCGACCACAACAACGCGCATCCACCGCGCACCTTTATCACTCTTCTCCCCTCCCCGACTCCACCCTTCAGGCCTCTACCTTACCCTTTGCCTTCCTCCATCGCTACAAACTAAGGCAACTGGATCCTCGTCCATCTCTCTAGAGTCCGACACTCAGCACCCGAAACCATCTACTCCTCTACCCACTCCTTGGAAAGCATCTGCCCTTGCCACGGTTTTAGACTACACGAAAGAATGAGCTGCAATTTTTTCGCTTCGGTCGGCCTGATGGCTCTTCTCGACACAGCGGCCGGCAACTACGTGGAGTACACGACCTATGAGAACGGCGGCTGCGTAACTGCTCTCTCCGTCAGCGTCTACGCCGGAGTGCCAAGTGAGCCAACCGTAAAAATCTACGGTCAAGTCTTTTTTGACAAATGCGCTGCTTTCGTGTGTGGCAAACCGAAAAATCTCCAGTTCACGTCGATGTAGATACATACAGCACCGAGGTTTAGTTTGGTTCCTGGCGCGTTCAATCGGCATTTTGGTTTGATTCGCACCTCACATGCGTACGCCTCATCCTGCCAGCCAATCCTCAGAACTGCCTACCGCCGTTCCCCCAGGCAGCAGCAGCGATAGCCTTGCAGGATGTGGTGCAACGTATTGACACATCCCGACGTTGCGCCTAAACTACAATGCAGTACAAGTAGAGGATATGATATCCAAGTTGTACGGAAACTTTTTATGAAAAACATGTGTGGCTCGTACTTTCCGGGCTTCCGGATATAAATTTATCTGCTGCGGCGAACCCCGCGCATGCCATCGCTCCGACAGAGTCTGTCAAGGTACAGCCACATGCTTGTACAGGCTCCAGAACATGTCCATCACTAAGGTGTGCATGTATCTTCGGCACCCGAACTCTTTCAACGGGGCTGCACCAAAGCACATAAGACTACATGGTTGTATCTTACGTGTATCTTTCTTTCAACCATTTTTCTAGGTTCGTCGAATTGAGAGAACCCGACAACAAACACCGATGGGGTGAAACCCCGACAGCGTGCGGTGCGGGGAAAATCACATAGACTACTGTGCTACGTGCACGAGGCACCCAGGCGTGTCCCCGATGGGCTCGACGAGGATGCGGCCGGTTTGTTTCCGTTGATGCCTCCGTGTTTCACGGAAATTTTCGGCGATTTTTTTCAGTGCCAAAAACACCTTTTTCGGCGACTTTCGGCGACTTCCAAATACTTCAAGTACATGTTTCTCGGCGAGTCAGAATTAATTTTCGGCGATTGTTGGCGATTTTCGTCGACGTACATAGCATGTACCTCCAGGAACACAAAGAGCGGGTCGCGACGCGGTTGGACTGCTGCGGAGGTCACCTGTCACCTGTCCGCGAAAAGCGAAATGATGTGTCCTTCGTCCTTCTCCTTTTCTACAAACTACATCTTGCACGTTTACGCTGGTATACGCCGGTGTGTACATGCAATATTCGGAGCCCTCAGTTATCAAACAAATCAACGAAATGGTATACATACTATGATGCTTCGATACTTCAACGTTATGCATGGCACGCACGCCTACGTCCGGGCAAAAACATGCAAATCTGGACAAGTACTGACCCACCAACTACGAACAAGACATCTACACGAAACTAACTGAAACACAGGTCATCAGTCGCTTTCGTCATCTCTGTCATCGCTCTGGTCGCTACCGCCGCCGCCGCTGTTGGCATCTTCGGCGCTACCCGTCTTCTCTGCTGAGCTGCTACTCTGGGCCCGGCCCCTGTTGTACTTGAGCAGTGCGGAAGCGCTAATACGGTCGCTGTACACGTGCTCCTGCCGTTCATCAAAGCAACACCGCAGGATAGAAAACACTCGTTCCATGAAGTTCAACGCAGAGGATGGTTGCAAAAGAGCAACATCCAACACCAAGGCGTGCCACGTAGGCAGCCTTTTCTTGCTGTCCTTCCAGAACGCCATGTGGCCGTACTCGATTTCTGTGTCACTGGCCGCCATGTCGTAGTCTTCCTTCTCCTTCAAAAGACCCTTGACCATCTTGCTCTTGACGAACGGGAGCACCTGGCGGCATCGGTTCTGAAGTGTCCGGGAAAGTGCTACCACCAGCGTCACGTTGGCGTGCAGCGGTACTGCTGCTAGAAGAAGATGAACCAGCTGCAGAAATGGTGCCACCAGCGCTACGTTGGAGTGCTGAGGTACTGGTGCTGCTAGAAGAAGCTGAGCCAGCTGTAGAGACCCGTGTTGGATCCCGGGCACCGGCAGCCGGTGGTGTGGCACTACCGCTGCCGCTGCCGCCGCCGCCGCCGCCGCCGCTGTCGGCACCAGAACCAGCGGCGGCACTTGTCGTTCGATCGACAAATTGCACATCCTCCTTCTCCGAATCCTCGTCGCCGCGGCTATTTTCCCATCTACAACCACCAGAGTAGGCTTCCATACCGGTAAGAGGCGACGGCATCGCACCGCCGTTCAGCTGTGTGTGTATGTAGCCGTGTGGGTGTGTAGCATCAAGCTGTCTCCTCCCGGGGGTCGCAAGCAGGGGCACCGTGAAATTAATCGGCGAGAATCGGCAACCTCACTCATGATTCGGCGGAGCCCCCTCCACAAACGGCGCTTTTGGTTTTCGGTGACAGGTTTTTTTTCGGCGACATATTTCGGAATTCGGCGTTTTCGGCGGTCGCCTACGGGGGAAAAGCCTATTGCTGCCGCTACACGTAGTCTAAGATGATCCAAAATTTGAAGTCTTCCAGAATATAACACATGTTTGTAGCATGGATCAAAGCATTTGTTGGATTTCAGCTTTTACAAGCGGACATCAACGCAGTAGTATTTTAGCAAGCTTACGAACGCATATAGGATACCATCAGGATTGTCATTGGTTTTATTTCAAGTTGAAGAGGAGATACTTTTACGATGTAAATGACAGTAGAAAAAAGTCCTACATATGTTGTTGTACTTCGTATTGGTTTAATATTCATGTAGAGTATGAGACATTAAGTGAAAGTTTTCTGAGGTACATCTGCAATTGTCGGAAGGCAAAAATAAATAAAATAAAATATAAAATATAACACATGATTCCGGGACGAGGCATGGGATACTGCAAATAGACTAGACTATATTGCTTTATATATTTTTTTTTCTCCCATCATTGGACTCTGTCGTCAGCCCCTCTGGCCCCTATCCTCCACTTCTACCAGCTAGAAGACCCAACTGGGGTCACATAGAAGGGGGAGGGTTGGACCCCCTCCTGCGGTTCCTGACGGAGATACAAGTTTTTTATCTGCATAGACTATGTCACACCGCCGCAGAGCACCAGCAGCAGTCTGGACATTGCATCTTGACGGATAGATGCAGCAGGCTCACCACTTACCCGCCACACTTAGATTAATCGCTCCCAACCCTGCCTATTTCCCACGGCGTGATCGCAAGCAGTGTACATTACCCGCAACAGAGGAGCCGTTGACATCGATTTCACACGAGACAGCCAGCAGTCAGCAACCAGCCCGATGGCCTTGCCTCAGATCATGTTTGTATTCCAAGACAGCTGTGCGGCGGAAGCAACCCGTGATGAACTGATCCAGAGCAACCATCCTGAGAACGCACAACAGCAGTAGACGACGCTCACGCCCTCGAAGGTTTCTCTCGATCCGTTTCCCGAGGGGCGTGGTGGGCGATCGTCAGATCGCGTGTGCGTGGGAAGATACGTAGATGTGCTTGTCGGAGCACCACCGAACCGACGTGACTATGGAAACATATATCAAGTCTAAAACGTTTGTATGTACGTACAATGTACATCTTTGAGACTTCCTGACACTGTTCCTTTTCAAAAACGTCGCTCCTTCTCTTCGTACTCCTATCTGCCTGTCCTCTCTCCGCCAAACACAGCGGTCAACGGCGTGCAAACCGCAGACATGTGCCTCGAGTACGAGGGGACCGCAGAAAGCACCAGCGTGCCGTCCAGCCTGACGGACCAACAGGGTCTCCTCTCGCTCATGCACGTGTGCAACACGACCGACCCGGGACAGCTGACGAGCACCTGGTACTCCACGGACGACTGCGATGAGACGGCCGTGGCGTACGAGTTCAGAGAGGATGCGACCTGCGGCGTTTCCTGCACGGATGTTGGTGAGCGCTTGATACGATTTATGTTTTTCGGTGGCCGTGCCAAGGCTGTGCCGGAAAAGTAGTGGATGGCGAGCGCAACGGGTGTTTTTTGTACCCTCCATACTTTGAAGGCTCGATGGTTCTACCCAAACAAGAGGCTGCCAATGCCGATTGGCAACAACGTCCAAGGAAAGACCTCGATGAGATAAAAAAGGTCATATCGAAACCACCCATTGTCGGCATTTGGCAGCGTCGGGCTGTGAAGCAGTCGAGATTTGAAAAGCGATGATGATACACCTGCGCGTCGCTTGCACTGAACGGACGGCAGTCATCCTAGTCTACTGTAGTTCATGCCTTGTACGTTTTGTTTGGACTACCGATTCTCTGTGGGTACCCCATCCACTGTTCTTTCGTGTCGCTCCCCATTTTGAGCAACTATGTTTTTCTACTGATCGGCATCGGCATTTCCTCGCTCTCGTACAGCCGCACTCTGGCCACCTGGATAATAACAGTGTCAATCGATAGAACCGACCGGAAAACTACCACCTCATCACCAAGCCCCGCCCGCCGAAATCAACACCAGAGCCTGACTATGGGTCGGACGACTTCGAGGAGGCCACGATAACTTTCTACGACACTTCCGACTGCAGCAATGCCACGGACACCGAGGTCTACGCCATGGTCGATCTGTACGAGCTATTTGAAGTGGCGGACGGGACGCCTTGCAGCGCCTCGGGGGACTTCGACCTATACACGGTCATCCAGTGCAGCGACGGCTCCCCTGCCGCGGTGTACTACGAGGTACGTATACCCAGCCGTAAGTTCCTCGTTATTACTCTGCACGATCAGAGTTCGTGCACGTGTGTGCGTATTTCTAGCCGTGAATTCTATGCGAATGAATGGATGAGACAGCCGTCCATATTCTAACCAGGGGACGAATAGTCGAAGTTTACAGCAGCTAAAATAGTTGAATGGCGCTTTGAAATTACAGCATGTCTTCTCCTGATTGGATGTACTCCAGCGCTTGCTTTTTCTGCATCGGCAGAAAGCAAGGCGGTTCACTAGTGTTGGTGCATATCATGCTTACGTCACCGTGTTTGCTTCCTGTAGGAATATATGGGAAGACGATGTCTCCACCTGCGCCCTTTTGGAGCAGTGGGTTCAGCGTATAATCACGTTCATGTATGTCATATATATTCATATAACCCCCCCGTAAATCACGTTCATGACCCGTCCTGTGAAACCGCCGTTACACATTTCTGTTGTGTCAACCCCCCGAAACTCACGTACGGTAATGCCGTTCTTCTTTGAACCGCTTCAGGACGCCACCTGTACCGGGGACGCCGTGGGCATGACCTACAACCCCGGGTGCGCTGCCGTCCCCAGCAACGGCACGTATCCGGGAGACTACTTCATGGCGGAGTGTACGGAGGAGACCGCCGCGGTTGAGGACGACGATACGGAGGTTGAAGACGACGACGTCGACGGGGCCACCAACTCCGCGTTTTCTCGCTTCGGACTCGGGTCCACGCCCGCATTCTCCATGTCGTGTGGCGTTGCGGCTGCCAGCGTTGCTATGACAACCACCGTCTTCTTTGCCCGTTTTTGATCGTGGTGTGACCCTGGGTCCATGAGTAGCGCGAGCATGTTTTTTGCTTGCCGGTTGTTCAAGGCTATTTTACTATCTATGTGGTGGTGCTGTGGTTGTTGTCGAGGTTTGGTGTGAAGCCATGCGGGTGGCAAGCAGGTTTGGTTGGTTTCGCAAACAACGTTGCTGGCAGTTTTCGTGAAAACGAGGGAGTGTGAAGATTATAGACTATATCGCGGTCGAGTTCTCGCGCAACAGCTGAGCCCCAGCGTGTACAGTTTGTTGTGGGGACAGCATTGCTGCTGTGCACACATTATATATCACAAGAAGGCCTGTTGGTGGCCAAGAGTGGCCTGACAACCCAACGTAATTTGGTTGCGTTATATAGAAGTAGTAGTCTATTTGTTTTGGCGATTGTGAGTATGTTCAGAACCCGCGTGCCTTGTGCCGAGCGGCTCCAGCGAGCTGTTGCGATATGTAGGTAACGTGATCCGCTCAAAAATGGACTGACATGGCTGTCACAATGTAATGCTGCCGATCGCCCTCTTTTGGCTGAATCGGATGTGGCCTTTGTTTGATTCGAATGGTTTGTGGGCGGAGATTTGTCGTGTTTCGCCCCGTTGATGTTTGGCGGCTAGGCTACACCTTTCGGTACAACGACATGTGTATTCTATTGTATTGGACGCATTGGCCGCGGTCACACAGGACGAAGTCTCCACCTTTCTGGTGGTGCTTGTCGTTTTTAATAGCTGCTACATTCTGTGCCGTTCCCCTGAAATATTGTCGGGGCGAAACAGACAGCTTGGTGTAACGAACCGGGCCTGAGTGACTCGCTGGTTGTCGTGCTCGTTGTCGAGGTGGTTGATAGAATTGACGATGTTCTTGTGAGTTCAAGCTGCTGTAGTGGAAAGCCGACATCAGCATCACTGTGTCGAGCTGATGATGCATCTACCCGTAAGTGGAAAAGGTGTGTGGGCTAGAGATTGATGTTGCGAGCACAGATGTGAGCTCGAAGTAGGAGCGGGTGGTGCGAGGTTGAAACAACATCCCGAAGCAGAGAGGGCCTCCCGGGTAGGCACTACGGAGTAGGAGAAGCTAGAAGAGCTGCGAATAAGTTCGATGGAATTCCGTGGAGTGCAATTTCTGGGAACATCGTGCGTGAGGCCGGTGATGAGCTGCTCAGACGAAAGCTATTTTGAAGAGCATGGGTTCAACAGGTTGTGCTCTTGCTTGCCTATCTTCTATCTAGCACAACCAACGTAGGTGTACCTGAAAACTGCTTCTTCGCTGCGTAAATGACATCAAAACCGTTGTTTTTGAGCAGCCGCGTTTTCAATTACAAGTTGGGACGTCGACGCGGCTAAAAAGGAAGAGCAACGAACAACAATAAACGAATCGGACGGGATGTACGCACGGCAAGATCACTGCCCGGCATCGGTACAGGGGCAACAAGGGGAACTTGTGCTGATTCCATAGCACTACGAGCGGTCGACAATCGGTACGTCAGATTGTTCTACAGCAGGGTTGAACAAAACATCGATGATCATAACACTATTTCTCGCCAGCGCCGAAGTCCTACAAAAAACACATAGGCAACCTTCACACCACGGCGCCATCACACCACCATATCATGACATAGTCAGGCCTCCAAACGCACTTGCTGTTGCCTGGTTCACGCTGATGTTCCCGAAAAGAGCACTTGGCTTCCATGCTCGACAGCAGTGGGATTCCTCTTGACAAACCCTCCACCGTTGTTGAAGGACGCACCAACAGGCTACGAAGCGCTCATCAGCCCAACACACAACATGAGCCCCAATTTCAGTAAGATCTCTCACATCCACCTTCCAACGGCTTCTAGAATAGACATGATAGGGCCAACTGCCAACCAAGCACATTCGGAACTTCCCGCACAGCTCCTGGACAAACAACCATTGCTAAATAACTCAGCATGGCCAACACTCACTCCCCGTTCTTCCTCTTCCCTTACATTAAATCACACAAGGTGTCCTTTCAAAAGGGATCGAAGGTAAGGGCGCAATTCCCGGGACGCTTCGTTGAGGAACTGTGCCCTTGCCTTCGATCCCTTCCGAAGGGACCCGTTGTGTGATCTAGTCCAAAGCTAGGGAAGAGGAAGTAAGGGGAGTGAAATGCTTGCCATGCAGGGAGATTTTTCAATGGTTGTTTGTACAGGAACTCCGAATGAATGTGCTTGGTTGCAAGTTGGCCCTATCACGCTATTTATATAATTAGACCTACAGGATTTCGTCAAAGAGGTCCCGAGCTCTAGAACGAAGATAATTTATTCTGCGTTAACCCAAGCGTGGTGAGAAATGATCTTTCGTGGAACAGGCTAACCGAAGCAAGCATGCACCAATGGAGGGGCGACAAGGAGGAAGCGGGTCACTTGCGAAAGCTTCCATGAAATGACAACAATATTGCTAATAAATCTGACGGGAGGTTGTAACGCTACTGTACAAACAACAAACGCTGTAAGTCGTGGACATTTTTAAAAGAAGGGCACGAAGGCGCCAATTGTGCACATTGTTTGTGCTAGTAGTGATTACCAAATCCACCACACGTTAAGCCTCCCCATTCCACCCGTACGACAATGCCACTTTGGCTCTCAGTCTATCACACGCACAGCGAGCGAATGCGGCACGCACTACTACAGCGAGGTCCCGCCTATCTCGCCCTTCAAAACATCGAAGATTTCCGGCGAAGTGTAAAAAATTGCGAGAGGCCTCTACCATTCGTATAGCACGCACCAATAGGCCACGAAGCAATGATCAGCCCAACACACAACCTGAGCCCGAAGTACCACCTCTCACATCCGCCTTCCAATGGGTTTTTCAATAGGTATGGCAGGACCAACTTGCAACCAAGCACATTCGGAACTTCCCACACAGCTCCTGGACAAACAACCATTGATTAGTTACTCAGCATGGCAAACACTCACTCCCCATTCTTCCTCTACCCTTGCTCTAAATTACACAACGTATCTTTTCGTGAGGGATCGAAGGTAAGGGCGCAATTCCCTGGACGCTTCGTTGAGGAATCGTGCCCTTGCCTTCGATTCCTTGCGGAAATGGCATATCCATCCGGCGGCCGGTAGACGAGGACAGCAGCCTTCACATCGGCCGGTACTTGTGCGGGAAACTGCAATTTTTGTACATCAGTCTCCTGTGGTGCGGAGGCTTGCGGTTCCGGGCCGCGGCCATCTCCGCCGCCGCCGCTGCCCGAAGCGCCGCCCGAGGCGCCGCCGCCGCCGCCCGAGCCGGTATTGAGAAAGCTGGCGATCGATTGTTGCTGCGCACTAGGCTGTGGAGATGGCGTGGTGCGTTGCTGCGGACCAGACTCGTGGCCATCATCACCTCGATCGCCCATCGCGTGTGGAAATGTGTGATGGTGTGATAGGGTTGAGGGCGGTGGGAATCATCGCCCCGCTACTTGCCCAACGGATCGAAAAATCAAGATTGGAAGACTCCAAATTCCAAGAGATGTTTTTTGTAATTTTTATGCAGGACTAACCCGACCACGCGACATCGCCTGTCCGGCAAAACTTTTTTCGTGTGATTGTTCGGCAAAAATTACCGCACTTCGCTGATTTTCCGATTATCCCATCGCGGTCGGCGAAACTTTTTTTGAATTATGTAAGATTTGCCCATTATCCCATCGCTCGGCGAATCTTTTTGAATCTGTTGGCCAGTTGGCCCGGATCCGATGTGATAATCGCGGCTGCATATGCGTGGTAGGTGGTAGGTGATATTGTTCATGTATGTGACTGACATGTGAGATTGTCGATGGGTTGTTCACCGGTACGATATGCCGGTGAACAATCTGTCGATAGCCATCATGTCACGCGAAGGGATTGGGCAGTCGGCAATCGATACTTATCTTTTTATTAGAAGGGAAGTGGCAAATGCATATCGATAACAATTGTGCTGAACGATAGGCGGACTACCACGTACACCGCAGGCTGTTGCTCAACCAATAGGCTGTCCTTAAAAGTTATCGATAAAAATTGCGCGCTACGATAGGCTTTGGCAGAAACCTATCGCATTCCTTCGAGGCCGTAAACAGGTGCTGGAAATTCCTGCCGCAGCCGGTCAGGATGCACCAATATGCACCCCGTGGGTGTATCAAACCCTATCAAATTGGACCGATAAGACAACACGGCGATAGGAACTTATCCTTATCTAGATAGTTTTTGACTTATCGTCCAAGGTGTGGCGGAAAGACACGTCGTGTGACTTTAAGCAAGGGAAGAAGAAAGGGGAGTGAGTGTTTGCCACGCTGAGTTATTTATCAATGGTTGTTTGTCCAGGAGCTGTGCGGGAAGCTCCGAATGTGCTTGGTTGCAAGTTGGCAGTGTCATATCTATTGTAAAAGCCACCGGGAGGTGGATGTGAGAGGTCGTACTGAAATTGGGGCTCATGTTGTGTGTTGGACTGATGATTGCTTCGTATCCTGTTGGTGCGTGCTGTGCCAACGGTGGAGGGTTTTCGCAATTTTTTCACTTCGCCGAAATTCTTTGATGTTTTAAGGACAAGATAGGCGGGACATGTCCTCCACCCGCTGCAGTAGTGCGTGCTGGATTCGCCCGCTGTGTGCGCGATAGACTGAGAGTCGAGGCGGCACTGGCGTACGGGTGGAACGGTTCCGGCCCATTCATCTTGGAGCAAGCGAAGAAGACAACCTGTTGTCTCGAATGTGCTGCATGCACGTCGAAGACACCATCGCTTTATACTTACTTTGAATTTGTCGTTCCTGTGTCGTGTCATGTTATCCAGACGGATGACGACCACAAAGGGGGCGCCGCATAGTCAACCGGGAGATGTGGATCGTGCCAGGACGCAATCAGACCAGCAATAGAGGCGGGGCGGCTGTTCGTGAGTCTGCGAACATTGCTGTTGGATACATGTGCTGGATGATTTTGTGTCACGCAGACTGGTAAGATAACCGTTTGATAGGGGGCACCGCAATGATTCACGGGGCCCCTCCTTGCTGTGGGAGCCGCTCTTTGAGCACTCCCTCTTTCGTCCGTGTGAAGGACGGTCG